ACGGCTCCATGCCTGTGCCTCCCAGGTTCTGGGGATGGTCTTGGGTGTGAGCCACCAGTCAGCCCCCTCTGGGGATGTGGGAACCGTGATGAGCCCTTCCCCATCCGACCCTGTGGCAGGCCTTTCAGGCTCAGAGGCTGCGGCTTCATCTGAGGGTTTGCTCTTGATTCTTCTTGCTCCTGGTGGGAAAGCCCCCAGGTGAGATCTAGAATGAGCTGAGGGGTGCCCGAGTTCCTGAGTCCTGTCTGCTTCTCCAAGGGGCTCCTGCCCACTCGCCTACAGGGTCTTTGCTTGTGCCAGTCACACCTGGGGGCATGCACAGCCCGGAGCGGTGAGAGGAGGAGGTCGGGCACGGCTCCTGTGGGCATGGGCTTTCTGGGCAGTTTCCTTCTGGAGCCCAGATCATCACCTGGTCGTCAACCTTACCCCTCAGAAGCAAATGCTACCTGTCGGGATAAATGCCAAAATGTGCAACGTTCACATTTAAAAAAGTCTAAGACGACTCTGGCTCTCGGCTCTTTCCAGATCGGCATTAAATTTGCAGATCTTAATCTCCAAGGATGTGGTGGAATTTGCCTCTCTTCAAGTTCACACCTGTCAGGCCTGATCCATCACCAGGTGCAGCCTCGGCAGGTGGCCCCAGGAGATGCCCCGCCCTCAGCTCGCCCACCTCTTAGTTGCAGCTCTGCTTGTCCCAAGAAAACGCTTTGAAAGGATTTTTAAAAATGTGTCTGACCCAATTATAAGTTAAAACCCAATTAGTGGTCCTCTTCCAACTTTGCAAATAGTTATTTCGATTTCTCAATAATTGTACAGTAAGCGCGGGTAAATAATGACGCTCCAATTCTCCTCATCTGTGAAAACTTAAACTGCCACCTTCAAATATGCCATTATTCCGTTATTGCCTGAATTATCCCATCTCGATGGCAGTGTCCGCAGGGCAGCAGAAAGGGCTCAGCATCTGTGTGGTCGTTGTGCAGTAGGGGCTTTCGGGGGTGGGGGAGGCTCCTCAGATCCCTCTCAGGGCACCGTGATGTCACGTGGTCCTCCCGAGTGCTACGCTTGGGACCACGGGGGGCTGGGTGTCTGCTAAGATGGAGGGGGGCTCGGGCCCAGCTGGAGGGTGGCAGGGGCTCCCTCCCCGGCTCTCTCCTCCTGGCCCCTTGAGGACTCCAGGGTCCCTGCCCTTTGGGGGCCTCCGTGTGGTCTGTGTGGCCTTCAGAAGCCACGGCCCGTGAACTTGCTGTCCAATCTCAGGTGTTCCTGCCTGATCAGGCTCTCTGGGCCCCAGCTGCTCCCAGGGCGCCGGGACAGCCCAGAGCTCCTTGAGGACGGGCCCTCTGAGGCATCTCCTGCCCCACCGCCATCTGGGTCCTGAAGCACGTATTAATTGCCTACTGTGTGCCGGTTGCTGTGCGTGGCGGGTGCACAGGGCAGGAGCCTCCCTGAGCTGGTTAGGCCTTCTGGTGACCTGAGAATATCGTTCTGCTACAATTGCTGTTGGGCCATGTGCCATCAGGTGTGGGTTTCGAGGAATACATTGTCAAATTGCTCAGGGTCTATTTAAAGAGGATTTTCTTAATTGCAATGCACATGCAGCAATTTTTATTAATAAAAACAAATTTTGCTTAAAAGTAAGAAAATACACCTTAAGAGATATTCAGAGTCTTGAGTTTATGTGAAGCAGCTGACCTAAACAGAAATGGGAGAAGAAAGTTGGCTGAGCTCTGCAGGGAGCTCTCTGCACCTGGAGCCCTCCCCTGGGCTGGGCAGACCCCCTCCCCATGTCGCCACCGTGTGGCCTGACCTGGTGTCACCTGACCAGGGATCACGCGATCTGCTTTCCAGCACTGCCCATCAGAGGTCAGCTGCTGCCTCCCTGGGACCTGGGGAGGGAAGGGGCCCAGAGACTGGCCAGGACGGCCCTGCCCTTGTCCTGTGCTGGGGCCTTGCTGGGACCTGGGGGCGCTGAGGTCCTGTAGGAGTGGAGGCTGGGGATGCAGCGACCCTGCCCCTGGTGGCTCCAAGACCCCCTCCTTCCAGCCCCTTTGCCTGGGGGTCACAGGCAGCCCGGCCGGGAGCCCTCCCCAGGGCGCCCTCCCCAGGGCGCCTCCTGGCAGGCGCTCCTGTGCCTGAGCCCGGGATCCCATGCCCTGGATGGGCCGCGCGCGCACAGGCTCAGGGTCCGCGGAGGAGGCCGAGGGTGGGCGGGCTGCAGACCAGGGCTCTCCAGGCCCCTCGGCAGAGCAGTCGTGGGGTGGGCGTTTTCTGCAGCGTCGAAGGGGCTGGGTGCGGATTCCTTCGGCCGCCGGCGGCGGAGGGGCCGCGGTCTGCGGGGTTCTCTGTGCCTCCATCGACCGGTCCCGGGCTGGTTCACCCCCGGTGTCATCCCCCGATCGGCCACCAGGTGGCAGGAGCGCTCTTCACGACCCAGCCTCAACTAAGACGGATGTCTGAGCATCCAGGTTTGGGAGAAAAGCATAAAATATTCAACAGGAAAACTTTAAATAATAATTTGGGCAGAATCGGGATGGGACATGCCCTTGGGTTGTGAAATGGTTCCGGTTGTTAATTAGGGGCTTGGTTCAGAGCGTGAAGGCAGAGACTGGGGCGTCTGGAGTCTGTTTGGGGTACAGGAGGGGATATGGGGGCACCTCTTTCTTACCTCATGGGCTCTGTGGGGTCTTCGCACCAGGCTGTGTGTCTGTGTTTGATTTTTGACCTGGGGGCGCCCCCAGGGTGGGTGGGGATGCTGTGGCCCCAGGAGCCTCCCCTGCTGGCCCGGGTCCAGGGTGGTGGGGGAAGGCAGAGTCTGAGTCAGCTGGGACCCTGCAGGTGGCTGGGGGCACTGCGGGATGGGTGGGCCTGGCCAAGCCCCCTCGCTCTCCTGGTGTCAGGGAAGCCCCTCCTGCAGGGACCCTGTCTGGGGCTGCGGGGCCTGGAGGGCGGAGGGTCATCCTGGACCTCTGCTGGGGTGTGGCTGAGCAGCCAGGAGCGCCTGCTGGGATCCTCCTCGCCACTCACTACGCTCCCCAGGAAGCCCCTGCCCCTCCAGAGCAACCTTGGGGCCTCATCAGTGGAGCGAGTGATCCACATCCATCTTCCCCACAGATCGTGGCCCCCAAGGGCAGGGCCGCACTGGTGATGCCCCCACTGCATCCCCAGCAAGGGGCTTGGAGCACAGAACTTGTTCAGTGCACACAGCTCCAAGCATGGGCATCCCCATGGGGAGGGACCATGACTGGCTGGCGTGGGGTGGGGTGGGGACAGACCAGGCTGGTGTGGGAGGGGCTCACACCAGCATAGGGGGCCCTTGGGTAGACCTTCCAGGCAGAGGAGACAGGGGCAGCTGGGCATTGGGGGGTGTGAAAGGCAGGGGGTTCAGGTCAGGCCGGTGCTGCAGCCAGACCCCTCAGCTGCGTGTGGAGGTGGCCCAGCAATGCCCCCCAAAGAGAAACTGTGGCTGGGACTGCAGGTGTGGGGTGACCCTGGTGTTAGGGATGCTCCAGGGGTTACCCTCAGGGCTGTGGGGACCCCCGAGGCTGCTGGCGCCCCACGTCTCTTTCTGGGCCCCCTCTGCTCATGGCGTGGCCCCCTGAGCGTGGGTGTCTTAGGACCTCATTCCTGAGAGCGGGGAGGCAGCGGGGGAGTGAGGAGGGAAACTCGGACAGTGTACTTCTGTCGCCGTCTAACAAAGCTGTGGAGGGAAGAACAGAGGTTCGTGGGGATGAAGAAAGCAGGACACAGCACACCCTGTTTTCATTGTTCCTTCGTCTTCTTTGAGACACGTTTGGCGGCTGGTCACTCTTCAGTGATGAAAGCGCACGGGGGAGGCCGGGCTGGCCATGACAGTGCCCCTGGTGAGGGCCAAGCCTCCCTGCTCTCCGTATGTCCCACCTGAGGACCACAAAGCTTCCTGTGTCGCTGCAATTAGGAAAAGTAAAGTGAGTTTTATTTAGAAGTGAAGGGAGAAAGGATGTCACAGCAGTGGGGCCTCTGGAGCTGGTGGCTGGAGGGTGTGGCTAGGGCTCCAGGCAGAGGCCCTGTTCTTCTCCTTGTCCCTCTGAGGTTATCCTGAGGTTATCAGGGCCTCGGGGGCTGATGGGACCCAGGATGAGCTCCGTGGGGGCCCCGTGCCCTTTGTGGCAGCTGCCTGCCGCCAGAGGCTGGGGGAGGCAGGCAGGATCCTCCCTGGGAGCCGTGGGGGGACGCGGCCGTGACATCTTGCTCTCAGACTGCCCGCCTCAGAGCTGGGCGAGGCGGAGTGCTGTTGCGTGAGCTGCTCTGTTTGTGGTTCTTTGTCACAGTAGCCTCAGGAAACAGATCAGACTCTCAGCACCTTGTGAGCAAACTGTGTCCGTGTGGCTCTCCCGAAACCACGCTGCGCGGGAGACGGGCACCCAGAGGTGCCAGCGGGGACGTGGAAGGAAGGTACATGGAGGCGTGGGGCGTGGGGGCGCGGGCCAGGGTCCCAAGCTGCCTGCCCAGCGGGAGGCTCTGCTGACAGGCCCCTCTGCCCACCGTGAGAATGGGACTGAGGTCCCTCCCTGTGAGAGGAGCACGGGCCCCCAGGCCCTACCTGGGCTCAGCCAGGATGGCGAGGGCTGGAGACGTGTCACGTGCTCAGATGGACAGGTAACGTGGCTTGATGTTTGCCGGTCCTTTCTCCACCCCCTGACTTACTGCCCGCGGAATCGGCATAAACGCTCTCAATTTCATCTCAGAGCTGATTCCTTATCCGAGAAGGATGGGTCTCAGCTGCCTGCTCCGCAGTCCATCAGCAGAGACACCCTCAGTCAATCAAAATATCCATCTGCAGAGGCCTTGCGCCCTCAGGGCACCGGCTCGTGTGCTGGTGGAGGGTGGGGCTGGTGGGGGCGCTGGGGGTCTCGCTGGGACCGGCTGGCTGGGTGCCTGGGAGCTCTGGACCCTGCTACTCAGAGGTTGAGATTGGCCGAGGGGCAGTCATGGCGTTTAATTCACTTATTTCAGAGAAAAAGTGGTTTTGAAAAACAGTGATACTTTATTTTGTAAGTAGGTTTTTCCATGAGAGCAACGCATGCTTATCTGAGAAAGCGTGAGACAGAGGAGTGGAGAGGAGAGTGGCAGCCTGGTGCCCTGGGGACTTCTACATCTGTCCCAAGGCCAGTTCTTGACTCTGCGTGCAGACACGACGCTTCAACCTCCTCCACGGTCCTCACGGTGCAGCCTGGGCCCCGGTCAGGGTCTGGCTCCAGGTTGACTGGGTTCCATGCTGTGGGCTCTCCCTGGCCCCGTGCCTGTGGTTTCCTCAGCCATGGAGGGGGAAAGGTTGGGGTGGTGGGAGGTGACTGATGACTCTGTGGGTCATGGGCTCTGTCCTTGAAGACACAATGTCTGGACCTCCCCTCCCACAGCCCTGCTCTTTACTTGCCCTCTCCAGGATCTCAAATGTGGCCCAGGTCCCAGAACACCTGGTTGTGCAATCCAGATGCCACCCTCTCCCCCTCCAACCTGACCAGGTACTCCTCCACCCCCATGCCATCCTGCCTCCATCCCTGCCCCATCCTCCCTCCATCCCCACTCTGGTCCTGGAACCCCTGGGAACGTTGTGCTTTCTCAGGACACCCTGGAAGGTGGCTCACAGCCTGCCTGGTTTTGGGGGAGCTGCTCCTGTCTCTGTTTCTGTTGAACTTCCCCTCTGGGGGTTCCCTGGGGCTGACCTCATGCCGTCTAGCCATGCTTCTGTCCCATGAACCCCTCAGCTGCACCTTTTCTCTCCTGTGTCACTGCCTGGCGTGAGGGGCTGCTCCTCCGTGGGAAACACCAGCAGTCAGAGCCAGGTCTGCCCTCCTCCCGAAGGCTCTGAGCACCGGCTCCCTGGGCCTTCTCTTGGCTCCAGGTTCACTTCCAGCTCCAGGACACCAGCACGTGGGGCAGGAGAGGTGGCCTCTGTGCGTGGTGCCAGCTGCACGGTGCTGTGCCGGCTTACTCCCACAAGCCTGCTGGCCTGTGCTGGGGGTGGGTCACGGATGTGCCCAGTGCTGAGGGATGCGGGCCAGCCTGGGGGAGCCCTGACCCTGAGGATGCAGTGCATCGGCCGGGGCTGCAGGGATCCACGCGCCTGGGGTCCGGGATTTGCCTACCTTCTGGTAGATTGGTGAAGAACCGAATGTGTGAGCGAGGGAGGAATGAGGCGACGGCTGCACTGTGAACACACAGCAAGCTGGAGCGATCGTCCGTCTTCGCGCGGCGGGCACAGCCTCCACTCACATCGTTGGCTGGCGTTTCCTGGAGACGGAGGGAAGACTGGCTGAAGGAGTTATGGAACCTCCAGACAGGTGTCGCATGCAGAAGGAGCGGGCGGCGCCGTTGGCCTCCTTCCTCGGGCTGAGGTGCTGCGTGGACCTGGGACACCGCCTTTGGGTCCTGGACCAGTTGGGAGGGTGGGTGTGGGGCTGGCAGCAGGGCCGCCCCGGCCTCTGGGGTGTACCTGGGCACCCAGGTGTGGTGCCCCGTCTCCCGCCTCCTGGGCAGTCTGTTCTGGCTTTCCTGGAGAAACACAAGGCAAAGGGCAGAACTGACCTCTGACCTCTGACCTCAGAGTCCAAGGCACCTCAGTGGTCTCTCGTCCAGCTTCGCACTCCATGCAGGGACCCCGGACCCTCCGAAGCCTGCCTGAGGGTAGAGCTCCCTGCCCCAGGACAGTGCTTCCTGAGGGGCCTGAGCTGCTGCTGGAACCTGCCTTCCGGGCCTGGCTGAACCCCAAGTCCCACAGGGCGATGGGGTCTGGTCCTCTCCCGAGGGGGCCACGCGGTTCAGACCCCAGAGCAGCCTCCCCCTCTGCCTTTGCCCTTCCCTGCCCTTGGTCGTGTTTATAAGAAATAAAAGACGTAAGTGAATATATTTACACACACCTGTTTCTTATTGCCACGCAACCACTCCAAAACTCGGTGACCCGGCCACGGTCCTTTGTTCTCAGCCAGGCTTCTGTGCCTCAGCTGACCTTGGCTGACTTTGGCTTTGGGCCATGGCTGGGGTCTCTCTTCCTCCTGAAATCACACCCTTATCTGCCTGGCTGCTCAGCCAGAAATCTGGGTCTTCCTGACCCCCCTGCTTTCTGAGACTGACCACCACGCATCTCACTGTCTTCGAACTATCCAGAAACGGCTCCTCCCCTGGTCTCCTCGGCCACCTCCCCGCTCAGGCACCACCCCTCTCCCGGACACTCTGGCGTCCTGCCTGTGTCCATCTTGTCCCTGCAGGCTGTCTCCGCAGGCTGCACGAGGGGTCTGTGGGAAGTGGAGGTCTCTCTTCTGCTTAAATCCTCTGAGACCTCACACTGCAGCTGGTCGACATCCTCACCGTCGCCGGTCCTTGACCCCTGGCCACTCCATGTCTGTCCCCTGGCCCGCTGTCCTGCCTCACTGGCCTTCACAGGGGCCCAGTCGGTTTCGTTCTTGTATTTCCTTTTGCCTGAGTCTCCTGTCCCTGGAATGGTCTTCTTGGGGGCTTGGCACGGCCAGCTCCTTCTCAGCATTCAGGCCCCTGCTCAAATGTCGCCTGGCACACTTTATTACACTGCTTTGTTCAATTTTCTTGCTATACCGAGATTATCCTATTCATCCCCTCGGACGTGGCCTTTGAGCTCCAGGAGGGCTGGATGTCGTGTGTCTGGTTTTCTCCTGCGTGGAGCTGGACACCTGCTGGTGGTCAATCAACGGCCCTGCTTAGTGAAGACTTCCTTACTGCAGACCTAGAAGACGCCTGCCAGCCAGACACCAGGCGCAGACCCCGTGTCCTCCCTGGCAGCCGGGTGTTGTCCGAGGTGGGGTGGGGCCCGTGTGACCGCTGATGACAGCTTCGTCGCTGAGAGCCAAGGGCGTCTGTGAAACGCTACGGTGAGGTCTGGGGAGGGCAGAGTTGCTACAGTGTATTATTGAAATGCCCAGTTTTCAACAAAAACTACAAATCATACAGAGAAATAGGAAAGTGTGACCCATATGAAGGGGAAAAAGCAGGAAGGAGAAACTGCCCATGAGAAGGACCAGATGGAAAAAAGAGGTAAGTTGAACTTCACCAAAATTAAAAACTTTCATGCATCAAAGTCCACTATCAAGAAAATGAACAGACAACCCTCAGGATGGGAGAAAAATATTTGCAAATCATACATCTGATGATTTGTATCCAGAATAGATAAGAATTATATAAGGTACTATTACAACTCAGTAATAAGATTATTAATTAAAAATGAGCAAAAAAATCTGATTAGACATTTCTCCAAAGAAGATATACAAATGGCTAGTAAGGACACGAAAAGATGCTCAGCATCACTCATCGTTAGAGAAATGCAAATCAGGACTCCTTGTTCCAATTTCCTGTGCTGTGTTGGTCAGAGCGAGAATGGCGTGGCCGCCATGCAAACAGAGTAGCACTTCCTCAAATGGGGAATGCAGAGCTGCCAGATAGCTCAGGACTTCCTCTCCAGGCAAAGACCCAAGAGAGATGAAAACGTATGTCCACACAAAACACTTGCACATAAATGTCCATAGCAGAGCAACATTCGTAACAGCCAAAAAAGTGGAAACAATACAAAAGTCTGTCAAAGGAGAAATGAAAATGTGAGGTGTTCAGACAATGGAATATTATTCAACCATAAAAAGTAACGAAGCCCTGACACACAACGTGGAAGGACCTTGACACGTGACGCTCAGAGAGAGGAGGCAGTCAAGAAGGACCACACCGTGTGATTCCGTGTATCTGAAATGTCCATGACAGACAAATCTGTAGACAGAAGGTGGATCGCGGTTGTCAAGGGCTGTGGACTGGTCGCTAAGCGGAGTGGGATTTCTTTTTCTTTTTGGGGTGATGAAGGCGTTCTAAAATTGATTGTAGGGATAGATGCACAACTCCGCGAATGTCCTATAAGGCATTGAATCATACACTTTTTAATTTTATTTCATTTTTTTGAGGAAGATTAGCCCTGAGCTAACTGCTGCCAATCCTCCTCTTTTTGCTGAGGAAGACTGGCCCTGAGCTAACATCCGTGCCCATCTTCCTCTATTTTATATGTGGGATGCCTGCCACAGCATGGCTTACCAGGCGGTGCCACGTCCACACCCAGGATCTGAACCGGGCTGCTGAAGTGGAACGTGCGCACTTAAGCACTGCGCCACCAAGCCGGGCCGAATCGTACACTTTAAATGAGTGAGTTGTATGAGATGTGAATTGTATCTCAATAAAGCTTTTAAATAATGTGACAGCTTGAAAATGATAAGGATAATGAGAGCTCCCTCTCCAGCCACTGCATGGGAGAGACAGGCAGGAGGGCATGATCCCAAGGAGATTTAGCCTCTGGGCCCCGGAGACGAAAGGTGCTGCTGATGTCCACGGCCGCCCTGCATGCGCCATTTTCTCAAGCCTGAGCCAAGTTATCATTCTCATGGAGTTGCTTTTCCAATTATGGCCATATTTGTAATTAGTTTGGAAACCATTAAATGTTTTATTACTCTTGTTTTCTTAAGTCAAATTCTCTGCTAATTACTAATCGCAATTTTAAAGACAGAAGGGCAGAAGTTGGGAGTAGCTGTGTGCCTTTGACTTGTGCACACGTATATTGTTGACTCTTCATTAGCCTGGCGATGCGATTATGCATCTGCATGAACCGTCCACTCTCTTCGCTCCTGGCAGGGATGCTGGCCCCCTACCCTGGGGCCTGGAACGAAAGCAGACCCAGCCCAGGCCAGCAGGGCGGCTGCGGGAGGGTCAGCATCTCTGGATTTCCAGTGCTGTGGAGGCCTCTGGAGGCTCACGGGTGAGCCCATGACCCCCTCACTCCTCTGCAGGAGGCATCTTTTTGGAGGCTGCTATGACTGGATGGGATCTCCACCGTTGTCCAGTCCAGACTGTGCACCTGGGAAACTGAGGCCAGATGGGGCCAGAGATGCCATGAGGAATTGGCTGAGCTAGGATGTGGGTCCCAGTTCCCCAACTCCCTGCCAATTTCTTCCACCACCTGCCCTCCTCCAGCTGTTGCACGGGACTGCCTGTGTCTAGTTCTGGCCACACAGCAGGACAAAACTCCTTCGACCTAGCCCCCAAAATACTGAAAGGGTGGCTGATTCCTCAGCAGCTTTTGGTGTGAAGTATTCTCTCTTTGGTCCATCCATCCATCCATCCATCCATCCACATTCGTCCATCCAATCATCCACCTATCTACCCATCCACACATCCACCTACCCACCTATCCACCCGTCCATTCATCCATCCACGCATCCATCCACATCCGTCCATCTGCCTGTCTATCCATCCCTCCATCCACACATCTGTCCATCCACTCATCCAGCCATCCAGCCATCCACACATCCATTCATCCATCCATCTATCCATCCACACATCTGTCCATCCATCCATCCCTCCATCCGTCCATCCACACATCCATCCATCCAGCCATCCCTGCATCCATCCACATCCATCCATCCTTCCATCCACCCATCCATCCATTCACCCTTCTGTCCACCCATCCATCCCACATTCCTAAGGGCCACAGTGTTCCAGACACCAGGCAAGTTGATTTCCATGCATTCACTTCTGTTCATACAACACATAAGTGCTGCTCTCATGATCATTTTACAGGCATGGAGACTGAGGCAGAGAGGTTAAATGACTTGCGCTGGGTCGTGCGGTGAGGACCTGGGGCAGAAGGGGTATCTTCGGGCCTCTGTCTGGTTGTTCCTACTGTATGACACTCCTGTAGTGGTGTTTTCAGGAAATGACTCCTTCCAAACTGAGCGGGACAGGAGGTGTGACTCAGGGATCCACAGCTGTCTGACAAGACACTGCCTCGGGGGCTGGAGACAGTGGGGTGGGGACTCAGGGTGGGGACAGTTGGCCTGACTCTGATGGAGGGGTGGGTATCCTGGCTTGGAGGACAGAAGCCAGGACCACGGAGCCTGTCCAGCATGTTCGGGCGGCGAGGCTACAGCTCCTGGGGCCAGGGCGGCGTGAGGGGAGTGGGGAGTAAGGCTGGGGTGTTGGGTGTGGATGGGGTGGGGGACGTGGAGGGGGCCAGCCTGAGCCTGCCTGGATTTCCCTTGAGTTTCTTCCTTCAGGATCCTTCAAGTTATTAAGGGAATACAGAAACCACCCTTAGCACAAACTCTGCGCTTGGTCAGAGCCGGCTCCTGGTGCCTCCAGGGCAGAAGGGCCCCGGGGGGTCCCGAGTGACTTCCTGCGCAGGTGAGTCCCCGACGCGCTCCCCAGTCCTGAGACTTTTGCTGGGTGCACTTCTGACACATCGCCCTGGGTCATCTGAAGACGCCAAGGGGCGAGGATGACACAGTGGGAAGGGCGGCCCAGCATGACCCCTACTTCCTCCCTCCACCCCCACTTCCACCGTCAGTCAGCCAGGCTTTTCCTGGTGACGTTGGGGTGTCAGTGCTGCAGCTCCCATCCCCTCAGTGAGGTGATTCTCAGATGGCCCCGGGGGCGTAGGAGCCCCTGGCCCGTGCCCTGACCCTACTGTCGGCCTCCCCTGCCTGCCAGAGTTTCTGGTCACCTCAGGCCCTGACCTCTAGAGCCCGTCCTTTCCTCTATGGACTCAGCTGTTTCATTCTGGGATCTAATTTGCTCTAAAAATTTAAAATGCATTTTGCAAAATCATTTTTATGTGAAAAAACAAGAGATGACCTAGTTACTCGCGAGGATGTGGTGCGTCGTGACTGATGCTGTCTCTGAGACAGTTCTCGTGCAGACGCCCCCTCGGGGGAGGGGCTCCAGGCCTTGGCGCAGATTCCCCAGGTCCTGCTGATGGACCGACGTCCCTGTGCTCGGACGTCTGTGGATCCCACTATCTGCCTAAGCACCTTCCTCATAGGGCGTTCAACGTGGGGAGCACA